GTGTGTGGTGTGTGTTGTGTGTGCGTGGTGCGTGCGTGGCGTGCGTGTGTGTGTGTGTGTGCGCGCGTGCGTGCGTGTGTGTGTGTGTGTGTGTGCGTGTGTGTGTGTGTGTGTCAGCAGTCATTAGGACTTGGCAGGCAGTCAGTTTGTATTGCTGATGCTGACAAGCTTGTCTGGGAAAGATTGGAACATACTCCCTGAGCTCGTTTTTATGACACGCACTAACTCTGTGTGTGTGTGTGTGTGTGTGTGTGTGTGTTGTGTCATAGCTGTTTAACATGCGCACGCCAATTTAAGTTGGCAGAGGCCCCTCTTCACTAAAGTTAAGAGTTTTGACAGGAGGCTGTTCGATCTGGTTCCTGTCCTCTTGTTTGTCCATCTGCATTTCGATTCACTTGCTGTCTATCCAACTTAAACTTCGCCTTGTGCTACAGCATATACACGTAACAGCAACAGGAAAGTTTGCTTTTGTATTTATTTGCTTGTTTTTGTAATTTTCTAACAGGCAATTTCTCAGAGACCTGAACTGGTGAAGGACTCGCACCGCTGGCTGGCTGAGACTAAGGTTTGATTCAGCTTTTGTCCCTGGAGAGAACCATTCTTACACACACAAATAATACAGTCAAGACATAGTGAAGATTTTGTTTTAACAAGGGATTATATATAATATTAACATAAGGGTTTGCCAGAGTTGGCTTAAAACTAATTTGCATCTGCAGTTCTTTGCCAGGTTACATGGCGAAGATCATAAACGTAAATTACAAAACAAACAAAGCGTCCGCACACCTATGAGAAAATAGACATCAGTGTTCATATTCTGTGAGTTTTTAAAGCTGGTGATAGAGCTGCAGTTCTTAATGAAAAAGAAAGCAGAGGGATGAAAACGTGCAGCGCAGTCTTAAGTTGAAGATAACCTTGTAGATTTGACAGATTCTGCTGTGCGAAAGTTTAAAAAATGAGGCGGTGGAGGAGCTGCCAGACCGTTTAAGATCTTTAATACCAAACACATCTCGGAAAATGATTTCATATTTTTCAGACTCATTAAATGACGTCTCGCCAGACTTTTTTGTCCAGTTTTTTTAAGGTTTTTTTTTTATAAAGAGACTCCTGTGCTTTAGTGACTGTTTCCTCAGTTTGTCCCCAACATGCTAAACAACATGAAATATGAGCAAGATGGAAAGTGTGAGCAGCATGCAGTCAGAGGCAGCCTGTAGTTATCTGGCTTTACCTCATTTGACAGAAACGTGTGCATTTTCTCAATAAGTTGCTAAGAGTTCTGAACAACAATGGTTGAGTAGTTAAAACCTCAATTACCAAAACTGCACGAAGTCTTTCATGTCTGGATAAAACTGCTTTAAGCGATGCCAAAAATGTCTTCATGCCAGGAAAGCCCTCCACCATAGATGTGGAGATATATTTGTGCAAACATTTACTGTGGTAAAAACTTCTCAGAAAACTATGACGCTTCATTGTTGAACTATTTTGCTGTGCACCAATGTGTGCTTAGAGTTTGTAATAAATGTCAGTGTCATTCGAATGTCAATGAAAGTCAGATAAGAGTTGAGATTTACCAGGTTCCCCAACGATAGCTGTAAATTAAACTTCTCACAGACGTGCAGCCATATCTTGTTATCATCGGTGCTTTTATATCAGTTATCAGTTTCCATGATGTTCTCGCGGGGCTCATGCGACAGAGGAGATGCTCGCTGTCGTCCTCTGCCCTTTTAGCTGCCACCTGCCTTTCTCCGAGACAAATCAATCCCCGTTTATTGTTGTAAACTTTCAAAAGAAATGTGTAATTAAAGCTGTGGCTGTGATGCATGATACCGTGTTAAAATTTGTTTGCACAATTTGTAGTGTTTATCACTGTAATGTATCTCCTGTCAGAAATTCTCTCAGAGTAATGTGCATTTACAAGAGTAAAACGCTGGAGAACAAGGGAGGTAATTAGCTCCCTTGTTAAGAGTTTTTATGGTAGTATAATGTAGGTATGATTTACAGGCTTACAGTGCACAGTTGGAATAACAATTGAACCAGTCATTTGGCTCTGCTGTGGAAGCCTGTTGTAGGAAACAGTAAATTTACACTGCTGTGCTCATTTTGTGTGGTTTGGTTTTTTTTCTGACGTGACTTTACAACCTGGGTCTGGATTCAGCTAAAAGACAAAAATGAAAAAATAATAATGTTGAGATTTGAGCTGTAAACTGGCAGCTTAGACAGGAAAACGCCTTTGAAAGTAATGAAAAATTAAGTTGAAATGATTTGGCTGCACAGGGAAAATAAGGATCAGGAAGTTTTGTCCTCTTAATTAAACTCCTGCTCAGTGTCCTTTGCATTGATTGGCGTGCAGGATTCTATGTTAGAAAACCCAGAAAATCCCTTGTCATGTTCCAACTTGTGTATTAAATGTAGTGTGTCATGGTGGGGCCTGAGGCTGGCTGGCCTGATCCCCTCCACAGTTTTCAGACTAACTACAACAATGTTTGTATTTATTAAACCAACCAGACCAAGCTGCGCTGGCTGTGTGAGGAGGTGCGTGAGCGCGACACTAGAGAACAGCGCCTGAGGAGGCAACATCAGCAGACCAAGGATCAGTTGAAGGCCCTCAGGCAAAGCCGCGACTCAGAGCAGAGAGCTCTCCTGCAGCGCCTGGACCAACAGGAGAAGCTGATGCACTCTCTCAGCACTGAAAAGAAAGGTAGAATCTAATTGGAGAAACGCCTTCATGTTGATTTCACTCACACTCGGGATGCCCCTGCACAGCATCAGGCGACACAAATCACAGTCATTCTGCCTGTAAGGGCAGCTAGCAGCTGTTAGAGTGCACAGGATGAGAAGTCCTTTAGTTCTCCATGCTCTCAGCATTCACGAGGGTGAGAAGTTGTACTTATCACAGCCAGCTCTCCATGAAAGTCTCCTCTCTCTCTAATGGTTCCTTTTGATTAACACAGCTGTCAGACTCCAATCTCCCGTTTTCATCCTCTCACATTTACATGTAATCACACCATCATTAAGAAAGTCATTCAGTGCAGGCGTGTGACAGAAGTGTTTTTGTTGCTCACTGTTTGTTGTGTTTTGCTGTAATGGATGCTGGTGAAAATGACTGTGTGTGTGCCTGAATCATTGTTTTTTGTTTGTTACGATGGGTCTGACTGTTTGTAGTTGCAGATGTTTGAGAAAGAATCTTAATGGTTTGTGAACTTTGAGCCTCGCGTGGAAAGATGACTTGTTTTTCCCAATGTGAGCCCCATTTTTGACTGAATTTCTCTTAATGAGCTGTAACTGGCAGAGGAAGAGAAGCTTGTTTTCAGCGCTTCGTCTGAACAATACGGGGAAATGAACCTAATTTGTGTTCCATTACCAGAGATCTAAAAGACACAGGGGGACTGGAGACAGCTGGATAGCTGGCTATGGTCAAGGAGATGGAAACAGAGCTAGCTATCTGTTTACATTTTTCTTTTCTTTCGAGTAAAGTGATTGGACAATTCAGTTAATGATACACGCGCAAGATCATTTCGATCACCTTTGGAATCAGCTCCTCCCGTCTCTGGATCAGCAGTTTGAGTCTGCACTGCAGGCAGGAGCAGTGATGTGGTCTCTTTAGTAGTTAGAGCTAAGAGTAATCTTTTGTCACAGCAGCAGTATCTGAGTATTGAAGGTGTGGATTTTATTACCTCTGCTATAAACTCTTCTTCTCAGTAACGGCTGTAATTACATGGTGCATTTTGCAACTATATCCTCAACCATGCATTATGGTAAATACTAATTAATGAATATTCTCAAAGGGGGAGCTGTATTCTCGTGAGCTCTGAGAGCTGCTTGTTTTTATCTCAACACATTAGCCATTATTGCCAGCACTCAGCGGAGACATTGTGTGGTGTACAGGATTTGTGTCAGATTGCGGTTGCGGTTTGTGTATTTTTCCTAAGACCTTTCATCACTTGTGCAGTGCTCCCTGTTGGCCCTTTCCCTTAAAAACAGGTCTGCAGTGTATGTGTGGAAACAGCTGTTCTAGTATTACAGCTCCTCCTGCAGCTGAGACGGGCTGGACGTGTCGGTCAGCGGAGACACTGAGCTGTGAAAACGTAGCGTCTGTCACAGTTACATGTTTCAGATCATCAAACCAGTTTTTAGATTAGTAAAGAGAAGTCGAGTAAATACGATGATTTTGACCGCATGGCATTAAAAACTGTGTAATTCTGTTAAATTAAAACCACAGAATCTCATATTTCATGGCTTTTCCTAAAATGGGCTTATTGGTAAAGTACTGAAATTTGGGGTATGTGGGGGTAAAAAAAAATATGAACTTAGAACAACCAAAGACGCTGCTGTGAAATTACCAATTACCTAACATTAGGGCTGCTCAATTAATCGAATTTTAATCACGATTACGATCTGGGCTTTCAACGATCATTAAAAATGACTGAGCCGATTATTAGCCCCTCCCTCATTTATCCGCGACACCTTAAAGGCCGGTCCGTGAAAATATTGTCGGGCATAAACCGGTCCGTGGCGCAAAAAAGGTTGGAGACCGCTGATTAAGAGGACCCGAGGGAAGCTCGGAAAGCTAAGCAGAAGTTATTTGGAGAGTGACTGCTGTTGGTTGAAAAGAGAGTTTAAAAAAAAAACTTCAGTGGTGTTGCACACTATTTTATATTATTTTTTTAAAGTCATTGTTAACCCTTTAAAGCCGGTCAGAGCAGCACACTCCGTTTTCCGTAACTATTTTTAAATCCCTGTAGAATCTGAACCGTGTAAGCTAGCGCAATAATTTGTTTTGCATATGAAACCGGAGGAGTTGTACTTACATCTGATGCCATCAGCTTGTCCTCGGTCACGGTTTCCTTCCGCATAAAGCTTTGCAAAAATTGCATAAAAAGCGCTTGCAGGAACAAAAACATAATATTCCAGAAACACGCTTTGCCGATCCATCAGCTGTTCGTAACACTTCCCACAGTGAAATGATGCACGTGCTGTTTTCTTTGCAAATTTGCATCATAGGATTGTTTTTTGTTTTTCCTGCAGTATATAAAAATTGCTGTATCTCCAAAATAAAACTATGAAGACACTCAAAATAAATTTCCTGTTGTTGTAAACTTTTTTTTGCAACTTTATTGTATTTAAAGTTTTGAGGGATAAGCCTCTTAAATTTCTCCAAGTAGAAATATATGTAAACAAAACAAAAGCGATTTTCAATTTTTTTGTAGTTTATTGCACTTTTTTGCAATTTATGTAATTACTATGGACTTAATGCATACATATTATTAAAATATGGGCTATAACAGTTGCATAGCAAATTGAAATGCTCCCACAAATGGCACTACAGCATGTAAAAAAATAATATAAGCTCTGGTGGACTTGGTTCTATAGTAGGTCTTAAAGGGTTAAATAAATATCGTCAAATAATCGTGATCTCAATTTCAGTGAAAATAATCGTGATTATCATTTTTGCCATAATCGAGCAGCCCTACCTAACATCACAATGGTTTACACACATTTTTTAAACTTTAAGGCTTCCAAAATTATCTGGATGTGATTCATAAATATGTAACTACAGTGGCTAAATATAAATAAAATAAATAAATCCAGATCAGAGCAGCTGATCGAGGTGACGAGGTCGCGGGGTGTGGTCGCAGGTTTGGTGATCAGAGGCAGACGTGAACTAGATGATAAACTTTGACTCTTCTACTTTTACAGTACCGTATTTCCCGGACTACAAAGCGCACCTGAATATTAGCCGCACAAGCTAAAATCAGGGGAAAATCCTGTTTTGTACATACATTAGCCGCACCTGACCAAAAGCCGCAGGTGTTTCAATATTGACTTATCATATGTAAGAGAATATGCACAAAGCGAATTGTCAGGAAAGAGATGGCTGTTTGGAGACACACCCCTTTTATTAATATTTTGAAAAACAAGTTATGGGTACATATTTGCACATGTGCTGTGCTTCATAAATGAGTAACAAATGTAGTACATAACAGTAGCCTACAGCACACCAGAAAAATAGATTCAGACTACCTTTTAGGCTCAGGTGCAGTGACACGGCTTTAACAAGAAGAAAAGTCAGTCACTCACCACCATCTTCCTGCGCACTAAAACCACCAAAGTCCTCTTCTCCAGTGTCGGAAACGAACAGGCTCAGGATGGCTTCGTCATCCACTCTCAGCTTCTTTCCTTCGTTGTCACTTTCAAAACCAAAGATAATCCTCATTGTCATTGTCAGTGTCGGAGTCGAACATCCTCTGAAGGGCCGTGGCGGTGTCCTCCTCTTCATCATGCAGCAGTCCAGCCCTTCGAAATCCGTTGGTGATCGTGGATGTTTGCACACTTTTCCACGCTGTCAGAATCCACCGGTGGAGTTGAGCATAACTTGCTTTTTGCAAGTTTATCGCCGCTCATCATCCAGCTGAACGTGTAGCGCTACTTTGAAGTTTGTTTTTCGCGCTACTTCGTACGGCACTACGTTGCCTGGCGGATGGACATGTGACCAACATACCACTCTTGAACCCCGATCCTTCCGCCAGGCAACGTAGTGCCGTACAACAGCAGAACAAACAAAACAAATCGTCTTACGATATGACAAAAATCATGGACAATCTATAGAAAAGCCGCACCTGACTAAAAGCCGCAAGGTTCAAAGCTTGTGCAAAAAGTAGCGGCTTATAGCCCGACAATTACGGTAATTAATAAAAAATATGTTTCTTACATTTTTGTGGGTAACTGTGAGGTCAGATTTAAAAAGGAGGCAATCAGCTGTTCAGTCGTTGTCACAGTGTTTATTGTAGCTCAGCTACAAAACGTGTAGCTGCGCTACATCCAGAATAAACTTAACTCTTCATAATGTTCTTTCTCTGTAATACTTCAATTATTTGCTAGTTATTCTGTATACTTATTATCACTTATTAGTTAATTGTTTTGCCCTGTTTAACTTTATAATCTGTAATGAAATTATCAAAATCATTTATAAAACTAATGAAAACCCTCAAAATGTTATTTTAATACTCGTTTTGTTGAATCTTAAATTTAATTTCAATCTTAAATTTCAATAATTAGAAGGAAATTAGTAACTGAACTTCTTCAAGAAATGATTTATTTGCCATTAGTGCTGTGGTAGGATGGAGTCAAAATTAGCCCTCCTGGTGCTTCTTATGAGTTAGGGTATAATGGCAGTTCTAGTGTCAGGGGAAGCTATTCAGACCAAGCTGGATCTGTGTGAAAATGTAATCGCCCCATAAACCTAATAACTGGTTAACTCGCGATAAGTGGCAATGAGTCTTTGAGATCACTGTGGAGGAATTTAGTCCGCTCTCCTTAGCAGAATAGTTTGAATTCAGCCACATTGGAGGGTTTCCCAGAATGAACGGCATCCCCATCAGAATGAAGTCCAGACTTTGACTAGTGTGCTCCACTTGTGGATTATTGTCCTGCTGAATAATCCAATCAATCTTTAGGGCATTAAAACTACCTGGATTTTCTGGTGGTGAGCAGAATTCATGTTTCCATCGATTACAGCAAATCATCCAGGTCCTGAAGCTGCAAAGCAGCCCCAGAGCATCACACTACCACCACCATGTTTCACTGTTGCTATGATGTTCTATGCTACTTACACTTATGCTACATACCTTTTAGAAAATACAGCTTTTGTTTTGTCAGTCTTCAGAATCAAGATGAGCGACATAAGCAGTTTGTCCCTCATTTACCTGTCGGGGTAAAAATAATCCATCAGCACTGCACAGCACCGAGCTGTGTTTGGATTAGGGTTCATCACATGGCCAGAATGTAATCAGTATAAAACAAATCATCTTTTCTTGTGTTCTTGGAGGTTAAATGTCAGGAAATCACTTCTCCATTTAAAAAAGAAATGATATTTTTTATTATTAACTAAAACCCCAAGCAGGCTTGTGTTTGAAACAACAGTCAAAAGGCAAAATATAGTAAGTGAGCAGCTCGTGAATGACAACAGCATCCTGTTACACTTAAACTGCAAAATGATGCAATTAGTAATAGTTGTTTCATCAAGAAGCTGTATTGGTTTCAGATATTAAAAACATCCAGCACCTGCACAGGTGGACCAGGCATCACAATAGAAGCTAGTATTATTTGGCCTGGCCTTACACAGCTCATATGGACCACAGATATTACTGTGACATCTGACAACTCGCTCCATCAACTGCACCATCTCTTCTTACACACTGATGTCATTCCAGAGCTGCTGGAGAGAAGTCGCAAGAAAGAGGACGAAATGAGAAGCCTTCAGGTTAGTGTAAAATATATATAATATGGTTAGTTTGTGTTTAAGTTGGCAAAGTGCTGTGCAGAAGTCTTGAGCCACCCATCATTTCTCTTAACTTTACAGGGAAAATGTGGAATAGGTGCAGAGACCCATTGGAACATATGCAAACATACATGGAAATGCAGCAATAAGACAAACCGAGTTTGTACGATTCTACATGCTTGAAAGTCGGTCAGTATTTTGGTGTGACCATCTTTATTCTTCAGCACAGCCTGAACTCGCTTATCATTTATTTAAGTCGTCTTCAGGAACACAGTGTTTTGCTATTACGATATGCTTTTACTGAATAGGCAGTGTGTCTGGGGATCATTGTCATGCTGGAAAATGAAGCCATTACAAACTATTGCTTAAGAAGTCTTAATTAAAAATAGATAAAAACAATTTTAAAATAAAGTATGGCTCCTTGGAAGCTAAATATAAAGAAATTAATTGGAGACTCAAGATTTTTGCACAGTGCTGTATGTCTGGGTTTTGGTCATCTGAGCTCTCTGAGGGTGTGTTACAAACATTACTTCACAGCTGTAGGCCTGACAGACTCCTTGCTGCCGAGCTTGGACAAGAAGCTAATTACTGCGGACAAGATGGCTCGGAGTTTAAAAGCCACTCGAGGCCTTGTTTCTGTCTTTCAATACTGCAGCAGCTACACTTGGCAGGACACCAACCCACCTAGTCTCAAGTGGACTGGTCCTTTATTCACTATTAAACAGCAAGAAACACATGCACACACACAGGCAGCGAACCGTCTGAGAAGAGACCGTCTAGCTCTGTGTGACTGTGCACGGAGTCTGCGGGCTCATCTGTGGCTGCATAATGGCACCTGCCAGAGCTTGTGCACTGTTTTAGACACCACCGAGCTTTTAATTATGAAGGATGAGGAGACAGAGATGTAAAAAGAAAAGACGGTGTGAAGGACGTAGAGTTTAAAAAAAAGAAGTTGGGGGTGGGCTGAGGCGGGAAAAAAGTCCCCCTGTTAGAAACCATCAACACATTACAGGCACGGGGGAGAAGCAGTCGGTTGGAGGGAAGAGCAGGTGTGCGTTTGAGTGGCAGATAAGAGGCATAGCATCACTTATGCATCGTTAGAGAGGGAACATCAGTCAGGAGCTGGATGAGCGGCGAGAGCGGTTTGTCTTTGTGCGAGTGTGTCGGTGTGTGTGATAAGAAGTCTGTTGTGTGCTACAGACTCTCCCTAGCCCCTGCATTTCATTCCCTTGTTACCCGTTTGTTGGAGCACACTATTTCTCTCTTTTGTCAATTTGTTCCTCCTACACACGCTAACACAAACACGTGGTTTCTCTCTGCTCAGCCACCATTTTGAGCCGTTCCCCGGACTCACTGTCTGCATTTATATGCATTTAAAGACCAGTGCTACAGTTCAGTAATGTTACTGTGTTTGTGTTTTCTTTAGGACCGTGTTTTGGATCTGGAGCTGGTAAGATGTGATGTTTTACATCATTTTTCTGTTATTTTTATTATTATTTTTTCCCAGGTTTTCAGCTGTATTTGGCTCAGCCGTGTAGGCAGGTTCACCTAAGGCTGTGTTTGCCCAGCAGCCCACAGAGGCTAACACAGAAAATGATTTCTTTAGTCAAGGCTCAGAGCTCTGTTAATCATCATCACTCTTTCTGATGAGGTTAAGAACCAGGCTGCACTGACAATGCAGCATCGACCTCACCATCCGAACGGTTAACGTCTACCACTAACATCTCTAATAAGCTATTACGTGTCAGCCAGAAATTAATTAGCACCACTGAAAGAGTGTATTGACCCAATCGCTTATTACTCTCTTTAAAAAAATAAATAAACGAAGCCACCCAAGCCACGCTGTCCATCCATCACTATTATGCAGCATGCTTGTCTACTTCAGGCTTCAATTAGCTGTTACAAGAAAGAAGGAAGAAATAGCCGGACCGCCAACATCATTTTTGCTTACTGCAATCACAAAGTGGCAGGACACATCGACCCATCTGTCACCAGCCTGGGAAATGGGGACCATCAAGTAAATCTTACTTGTATGTCAGCGTGCCATTCAGCGTAGCAATCAGTGTGACGCCTTGTAACAGCCAGCTCTTTTGATGCTTAAATGCTCCTTCTGAATGTGAACAAAAGGCTATTGAAGGTACAGTGAAGAGATGAATAGAAGGGCGTGCAGCTAGAGTAGTACTTAATTAAAGATGGTGCTGAGTGTGTTGTAACAAGTCCTCAATTAGCTTTTGAATTGACCAAGCAGTATGACATCATGTCTGTTTAAAGGTACAGTCAGTAACTTTTTGAGGTTCTTTTACAGGAAAAAGAAGGTTACTGTACTCATAAATATCCATAAAATTGTGTGTAATTAATCTTCTAACAAACTGATTTCATCTCAGAAACTTATAATGAATCTATTAAAAACACAGAGGGGTTGCAGTTTGTGGATGCCATCACGTTCCTCCACCATATTTGAGTACGGTGCCCAGGAAGGACGTCTCCCTTTCAACTGATGGTGTCTTAAGTTTGTAGCTGGTTACATACGCACCAAAGGCAGAGGAAACGCTGTGTGCCATGGAGGGACATTTGATTTCATACCTTCACCTTCATACTCTGAACTCTCATATATTTTTAATGCCACTGTGCTTTTGTTTTTGTTGCCAATAAATTGTTAGAAAGCATCGTTTCATGTAGAATGGGCACAATATGGCACAGCTCAGCTCCACACGTTGTGCAGAGATTTAGGCGTCACACACTGTTCAGGATGTAGATAGATTATTGGCTTTTTTTGATGCTGTCTGCCACGTGTCGGCTCTTTTTGGGGCGTATGTGGTCAAGTACAGAAAAACATCATATTTTTGCTCGTGCTTTCACCTTGAAATGTGTTGAAACTTTTATTTTGAAGTCCATTATGGATCTGGTATCTGGATCATAAATGCATTTACAAAACAACTTTGGACTGATGTGTGCACAGTCAGAATTCAGGTTAATTTTGTATGCAGTGTCTGCTACTCCACATTCAGTACTGTCATGTGGGAGGGTATAAATAATACATAAATGTGCTGCTAACAGTATCAGCCACGGACCCTTGTTGTTTAGCCAGTACATCCATTATGTGTGCAAATACAAAGGCGTCAGTCGACTCTGCAGAGCAGTTAAACCCACGAACATCCAGCTGCGCAACCTTCATCGGTGATTATCGTTTAAGATGAACCTTGACTCGGAGCGACGTCTCATTTCACTCTTATTTCATCGACTTTTCCTTCCTCGCTGTTGTTCTTTGATCTTTTTTGTTGGCTGTAAGTGGGAAGTGCTGACGAACGAGGAAAACGTGGCGAGGGAAAAGGAGAGGCAATTAATGGAATTGGGAAGTGGCCCCAATATTATTAATCATTAAATCTCCACGTGTTGTTTTGGTTTTGTAGCATGTGTGTCTACGTGTTTATGATTTTTGGGGTTCCTCGTTGTGTTATTGGATTTACTGACATCTGCGTCGGGATCACTTGGATAACTTGTAATTATGATGTTAAAAACACAGATGCTGTTTTCAGTTCTGACAGTTTTCAGTATCTTCCATTTACATTTGTTAAATATTCGTGTGTGTGTGTGTGTGTGTGTGTGTGTGTGTGTGTGTGTGTGTGTGTGTGTGTGTGTGTGTTTTCTTTTTTTTAAGAATACAAGAGTAGCCCTGGATCACTTGGAGTCTATTCCAGAAAAACAGCTTCTTATGGAGAACTTCAGAGATTTGGAGGTGGGGATCACATATAATCTAGATTACTTCTTTTATTTGACTGTTAATGAACACGCAAAAATTAACCGAGTAACTGCACAATTAGCTCTGAGTCACATATAAGAGGATTAAATCCTATAATTATGGATTATTAATTGCAAAACTATGGAATTAATGCTTTACTAACTTTACCACTGCACAACTGATTAGCAGGCAAACGTAATGGACAAAACACAAGAGCCAGTTAAACTTTCAATCATTGTAACATAAGGAGGATTCCCTCACTAAGCTGCTGCAGCAAGACAGTCAAAATGCCACAAAATCACATGAAAAAGTTCTGTCTGCATCTCCCTATTGTCAAACTCTAGCACTAACCTAAATGGCCTGATCATCATTTTCAATATAATGATAGATGTTTATCAGCGAAGGTCCTCTTAGTCCTTTGTCAGTCTCAAGTTCCTGACACATACAGTGAAGCATTGAAACAGCTGGATGAGGCTCAGCACCGGGCAGATGTGACTAATTGCATCTTCCATGGTTAAAGCTCCGCATCATGAAGCAGCATGACTCAGCAGAATCATCACTGCTAAGTTTATTGTCAGAGGCCTCAAAGTATTTTATTCCTTTGCTCAGCTGTCGAAGATAAGCTTAGCTGTTGCTAATCTGTTTGCTAATGCACAAAACAAGCAAAGACCAGGACTGCCAAAGGAACCAATTGGGGCAGTGGTGATGTGATGTCCAGAACAATGTCTCGAACAAATGAAGCTAACTAAATTTTTAAGAAACACTTTAATAGTGTAAAAATAAATTAAAACCAGTACAAAGAGCAGGATCACATCCATGTGAAGCTAAAACGAGCACCAAACTGTGAGTCAGCCCAACGGAGCCGTTGGTTTCAGGTCAGACTGTGCTGAGAGCAGAGAGCAGAAAAAGACTTCAGTAAGTAAATGAAGAATTGAGCCTCAGCAGGTTGCTTCACTCAGCAGCATAACAACAGCTTAACTGCATCTGTGTGAGTGACTCAGTCTAAGCTGGCAGACACACAGCCTGTTATGTCATGTTGACTCCATGCACACCAATGCCAATGTGCGTTATACTAGATTTTAGCTAAATAATTAATGGTTAGTTTATTGATTTTGCTTATTTGGGCTTTTATTATTGATAGGGAGGTAATCTACATGTTAAATTCTTTCTGTTATTCTCATTGCTGATCAGTAGTCAGTGTAAATCTATTTGATAAGTCCAGAGCTCTAACTAAACCTCAAATAACGAAATATTTGTCTTGTTTCACAATCACGCCCACCTATGTGTAGTGCTGTCACATCCAGGTATTGTGTAGTTTGCTGAGTCCTGCAACACTTGTGTGTGAGTGTAATGGACTGCCAGGCTCCAATTTACTGTTATAGGAAGCACTCGTGAATTCAAAAGATTAGCTTGTGCACTTTGACACCACTACTATTTATTCAGTTGTTCTCTGACTAATTAACCCAAAAAGAAAAACTGTTTAAGATTGTTTAGATTCTTTTCTTTTCTGCCTGTTTAGAAATAGTCGCACAATCTGATGACACAGCTTCTGTCTTGTGTGTTCAGGACTCACAGCAGCAGAGGGAGATGGTAGAGGAGCGCCACGCCAAATACAAAGAGATCGTCTGGGACCTGCAGCACCAGCTGGATGAGTCCAAACGCAGGATCCAAGAGTACAGAGTATGTTAGACACATGGTTGCAGTACCTTGATGCCTAGCAAGAGACGATACTTTAGAACAACAACCTACACTTTTTCTATTTCAGTCACTAATTGTGGCGCTTTGTTCAAACAGCAGCTGTTTGGATAAGGATAGCCTGACTTTGAGAGTCGGTTATGAGTCTGGCTCACCCACACAGATGCCGGTGTGTGCACTGCACCTCATTTGCAGCTCGTTTGAATAAATGAATAAATTCGCACAGTGGTAACATAGCATGGATGGACAGAGCGGGACAGGCTCTGGGGGTGCCACTAATGTACCCCCCCCCAAAAGACAAAAACAAAACCCCAACTTGAATTTGCCACTCACTGTTAATTGCTACTGTCATCCTCTCTGTTATAAAGCAGCCGAGGGAGTCATCAAGACATCGTCGTTGACAGCTGATTGCCATCAGCAGTTTACAGCCTCCCCTAAACAGCCATACAGTCACTTTTTAAATGGCTTTAATCTGCCAGATTACCCCATTGGTTTGCCAAATGACTCCTGCGTTGAGTGATAAGTGGCGATTGCATTAGCTTAATAGCTGCTGCCCACTCGGGGTTTGTTTAAGGAAAAAGGATGGATGAATGTCTTTATAAGACTTCCATCTTAAACAGAGGCAGCAGTGCTTACAAACAGCTTCCACATCACGTTTAGCTGAGGCTCTCGGACTTTTCTGCTCAGATTATCTCTTTGGTCCGCCGCTGCTCTGGCCTCGTAGGACATCTGGAAAGTTAGTGATCCATATCCTGAGGATAAAAGACAACAAGCGCTCCGTGTCATACTTTAAGCAGCCGCTGCACCTTTGTGGACCTTGCAAAAGAACCACAGAATATTAAGGGATTTTTTCAAACTGCACACCAGCGTTTTTGGAGACCTGTAAACTTGCAAGTGTGGCAGCACAGGTACACAGCATTCAGCCACAATATTAAAAACACCTGCTTTCCTCCTGCCTCCTAAACAGCCTCTGACATTTGTGGTGTCTGGCACTGGGACGTTGGCAGTGGATCTTTCGGGCTGGGATGTTTTGTGGATCAGGTTTGTTCCAGTAGATGCTGGTATGCCCAAGACTCTGATTTGTATTACTCGAGCTGTTTCTGAGCAGTTTTTCTTTTTGCAAAATGATGGAGGGAAGCCCTCTGTGCGTCAGTGCCTTGAGGCGGTGCAGGTGGGGTGGTCTCTGTTGTCTGCAGGAGTGATCAAGTAGGTGGCCAGGTTTTAATGTTATGACTTTTTGGCGTATACTTACTGGAAAGACTGAGATTGCTTATGTAAATCATTTTGTCGAGCATTTTTGATATGCATACAGGTATTTTGGGGACCCAGACAGCAGCCCCTTTCCTTTAGCGTGGTGCATTTGTCTGCCTTGTTCCCTTCCGTGAGCCCAGACTCATTCAGATGGTTTATTTTAGCTATAATAAAATGGCCTGGCGTGCATAATCTAAGAATCCTGCGCAGCACACTTCACTGTCCATGTTGATCATTGCATGGCGTAAAGGAAATTTTACATTATTGTTAAATTAAGCACACTCATAATGTCTCACCAGCTTCTTGATGGATTGTCCGTTCGTTCAGTTCACCGGCTTTTTGCATCTTCACATCACGAACACTGCAGATCAGCAAACTGCCGTCTGAGGCTCAGTGATGTAAAGGGCTGAATAAAGTAATAGAAATGCATCGGCAGCACAGACCGTAGCCTCCAAAACAACCATACAGCTGATTCGACATCTTTCTAAGACAGTTTCAATAAAAACTGGAGTTTATCTCCTTCACGGAGGCTGGATTTATAGCAGGACGGCTGCATTAGATTATCTTTATCCAGCTGTATCATAACCTGATAGCAGAGTGTATGCACCGATGCCATCCTCAGGCTCACTACGACTATAAATCTCTTGAAGGTTTCTTTCTCCTTCCACCCAAAGAGCTGTTGTGTGTGTTTGGTTGTTTTTTGTAAATCTGGTGTGTAGCCTACATTCTCGTTACCATGTCCTCCTCTTCCAGCACGAGAAGTTGGATGCCACTTCCAGGAGCCTCAAACTGGCTGCTCTTTCTTCCACTATCAAAGGCTCCAGCACGTTCCTTAGCAGCTCGCTGAGATCTGACACACTGTGTGAGTACGGAGCAGCTCTGACAGCCTTTCTGTTCTATGCTTTGATGGGAGTCGTGTATTTCCTGCATCTCTGTATTGCTGATCATTTGAAAATATACAGTACGGCGGTATTTTGGAGTAAAATTATTGTCAAAGTATTCTTATTTTTCTAAATAACTGCATCCAGACTGTAGTGAAAAGGATGTTTCGGTGTTTCTGATCTGCATTCATTTCAGTATAACGCTCACCAATAACCCAAATTTCACCATGTTACATTCAGAGCACAGTCTCGCTTTCATTTAGTATGTAAACATGGCAGCCGGCGCTGAAACTTTCCATCAGTGCTCTGGAAATGAGTCTGCCTGTATCACTGCCAGTGGCTCCCAGCCAAAATCACTTGTAGCACTTTCCTAAGCCGCTTACAAATATTTGGCTCAGCGCGAGAGGAGCGTACTTTCTGTGGCTTTGTGTCCATTTTACCTCCGAGATTTATGGAGGCCAAAACATGTTCGTGGCTGTTTAACACTGGTGTTAATATACAGAGTAATTCCCACACATAGTTGCGACTTCCTCGGCTGTAGCAGGTAGTGCAAATCATATTTTATGCGCCTTGTTAGTGAGAAATGTCTTGTTCACAAATGTCGCGCTGTGATTGGTTAGTAAATGAAGCAGGACTGTAACTGTGTATCCTTTCTTCTCTCCTCTGCCACAGCGCCTCTCAAACACTTGACCACTTCAGACCTGGACGACTCCAGAGTCGACGGGGCCAAACCTCTCGCAGATTAGTTCAACCTTTAGCAAACCTTTATCCATCTCTACAAACACACACACACACCGACTCTACCTGCTGGTGCTCATCCGGAGCGAAACATAGTGAGAGGCCTTGCACTCGACGCTAATCCTCCACGACTACCTCAGCCAGGCAGTCGGCGAATGTGCTCGGGACCGAGACTGACGTTTTATTAAAGCAGAACTTTAAGAAACACTTTAAAACATGAGCTAAATATCTGCACGCTGTAAAGAGTTTAACTGTTATTTATAATCATGAATGTATTTCAAAGCAAAACGGTTTCACTGTTCCACGTTCTTGTCTTGTTTTAGATGTGGTTAAATGTCTGTTCTGCTCTTATCATCATGTGTTTCTGCTAAAAGACAAACTCCATAAATGAACTCGTGGTGCCTTCTGAACAATATGCAGTTTTTTAAAACTAGCGCAATGTGACAAATGTTTTTGTGTGTGCGTTTCCATCCAACTCTTGATGAATGAGAAACTCTTTCTATGTTTTGTATACTGCAGTATTTATATTTGTAAGAAAGAAGGAAATGAGCACAGTTAGATGGTTATTTTGTCATGAAATATGAAGGAAGTGTATGCACTGTGAATAAATCTGCATGGAGCTAAATGTCTAGTTTTCTATGCACACTTGATGTCCCCTTCATTTCAGACTGAAGTGTTTGCTTTGCAGCAGCTGAGAGACTCCAGCTACTCCCAGCGGTATCTTTTGCTTTCAGCTGAAATCCTTCAGAGGGACAACCTAAAGCCACACACGAGAGGAACGTCCTTTTAATTTACTGCTCGGCTGTTAAGGCAGAAATACAGTCCCCGGTGCGTGAATATTAAAAAATGTTTACATAATCTTTGTTTGGACATTCTGTGTTTGCACGGGTTGGTTGTGTACAGCATAAAACCAGATGTCACTGGATTCTGGCAGAGCAGGGAAGCTCAAACTGATGCAAAGGTCAAAGATTCCTCCGTATATAAGTAAATACATTAAATACTGTTACTTTTTTTTTTCATCACTACTGATTTAATAAAAAATTGCAAATACAAAAGACATGTTTTATCGGCCTGTCACGCTTCTGCCATTATCTGCCTGTATTATGTCATTTATTCCTCTCAGCCTTAATAAAACATGCTATTAACGTGTGTTTGTTTTCTGTTGCAGTGATGGCTGTAACTTTATGAGAAATGCAAAAAAAGTTTGAAATGATCAGAGTAAACATTTAACATTAATCACCTGCAACTCAACACCTCAAAGACTAAGGAACTGGTTGTGGACTTCGGGAGGTCCAGAGAAGGTCCACTGCCGGTTCAGATAGAGGGGGAGGAGGTGGAGGTGGTCAACAAGTACCTCGGGCTGTGGGTGGACAATAAACTGGACTGGTCATGCAACACAGAGCACCTGTATAAAAAAGCCCAAAGCCGACTGTACTTCCTCAGGAGGCTGAGGTCTTTTAACATCTGCAGGAAGCTCCTGAGGATGTTTTACCAGTCGGTGGTTGCTGGAGTACTTTTCTATGCTGTGGTGTGCTGGGGGAGCAGCACAGCAAAGAAGGACTCATCCAGGCTGGAGAAACTGATCAGGAGGCTGCTCTGTGGTCGGCATGAAGCTGGACACTCTGGTGACAGTGGCAGAGAAAAGGACATTAAAGAAACTGATGGACATTATGGACAATGCTGGGCATCCTCTGCACACGGCCATAAACAATCAGAAGAGTCTGTTCAGTGACAGGTTGCTTCTCCCAAAGACAAGAACTAACAGACTTAAAAACTCCTTTGTCCCACACGCCATCAAACTGTTTAACTCCTCTCTGGAGGGGAGAGGGAGGGGAGACAGGAGGACAAAGGAGGGGGGAACAACTAAGCTGTAGTGCCTCTTCACCTCACTGTACAATACCTTTTGTGCAATACTTTTTGTAAATAGTCAACAGTGCAATAGACTCAATACTTGAAATGTGCAATTCACTTGTATTTTTATTTTTTAATTCCTATTTATTCTATTTATCCCCTTCGTATATTTTATTTATATTTGTCTCTGTATTTATATATGTGTGTGTGTGTGTGTGTGTATGTGTATTTGTTGTATTATATATATATAATATATATATATATATAACAATTCTGTAGCTGTAACTTCGGTCGTTGCTGTGCTTTTTGGAAGTCGAATTTCCCAGAGGAACCCACCCGAGGGATTAATAAAGTTCTATCTTATCTTATCTTATCTTATCTTATCTTATCTTATCTTATCTTATCATACAGTGTAGTATGAATAAGACTGTGGATAAGAAGGACTTAACAGAAGACGTCAAACTTAAGAAGGAAAGCACTGTAGTCTATTGATGTACCCACTTACAAACAGCCTTTACCCTGCCTGTATATTTAGGATAAGGCAGCATGGTGATGTGGTGGTTACGCCTCACAGGAAGAAGGTCATGAGTTTGAATCTACCAGCTCGCCACGGCTTTTCTCTGTGGAGTTTGCTTGTTCCCTGTGTGGCTGTCTGAGCTCTGTCTGGGAACTCTGGCTTCTTCCAGTCCAAAGGTGTGCAGTTAGTAGGGTCAGGTTAGCTGTTGATTCCAAACTGGCCCTTGGTGTGAATGAGAGTACAAATGGTTGTTCACCTCTCTGTGTTAGCCCTGCAACAGGCTGTGCCCGGCCTCTGACCTGTGACAAAATACTGAAACTTTAAAGTAAGACACAGGTTGAGAAGAAAAAAGGAGTTCTAAACAAGGTTATTATAGTTTACTGTGTTTATATTGTAATACTTGTACTAACTGAAATTAAACCGAATTAAAAACAAAAAGTCAAAATGAAATAAAAGCAACCTTTAGCTACAACCACAGTATAACAGAGTGGTGTAGCCACTGCAACGTCAGCGTTGGTTTGTGAAGTGTCAAGCTGAGAACAATGAACTCATCAGTGAAGTGCAGACATGAGACCTGCAGGACTGTTTCCCCATTCACTCCTTCTTTTTGCAGGAGTCAAGAATACAGGCTTAACTTTCAGTCCTGGAAGCTGTTTCCATCTTTTATATACAGTTTGTGGCTGGAAAAATGGCATCAAGTTGATTTCTTGTTCACTGGTATCAAATGCTAAATTTTATTTATTCATTCATTTATTTTTGTTTGGTAACTCCACTTTCCCAAAACACTGAAACTCCTGAGCTTATTATACGGTGGCCCTGAGAGGCCAAACGGACTGCAACCTAATAAAACACCAGCAATAATAAAAACGCGGCAAAAACACACAAAACACAACAGAAATAGGAAAAAACACAGGGGAAGTGTTTCTGGGGAGACAATAACCCGACCAGTGTTGCGAACTCCTCAGTAAGGAAGATCGCTATTGGCTGTCCTAAAAGTCGCTAAATGACGTCATCACCTAATTTGCATAATTGGTCATGCTAATATAATTGTAACCTACGCTGTTGGAGAGAGAAATAACATCGTGGAAAAGACAAAGAGAGCAAAAAACATCCTAAATGCATTTAGAATTTATTTAGAACTACAAATTAAATTTATTTTAGCAATTATTGTTTTTTAATGTCACAATTCCAACCCTGCTCCTTTATCCGGGCTTCGACCGGCAAAAGTGACCCGAAATAGGCACTCTGGTGGAGTTACTTTGTGTGTGTGTGTTTATAAGTAGTTTTAAACCTTGTGATCCACAAAACAGCATAACAGTAAAAGAAGAACTGACTGCGTTATAGTCAGTGCGGAGCGGCGGCTTCGCTCATACGCGACTCATTTGCAGTTTGGACGCATAGGTGTGAACATCTCCTGCAGCGGGGGGAGGACTGTCCTCCGCCCGTGAGCGCTTTAGCACGGGTGAGGTGCCCACGGCAGCACCGCTGCTTGTTGAGAGTAAGAGCAACACACTCTTTCACGTCAAAAAGTCGTCATAAATAAGTCTCCAATAACACCAGAAAAAGTCGCCAGATTTGTCGCTAGTCGCTTTTTAGAAAAAAAAAAGTCGCTAAGGGGTCTGAAAAGTCGCTAAATATAGCGACAAAGTCGCTAAGTTGGCAACACTGAACCCGACGGACCAGTTGCAGGAACCCAAAACTTGGTAGGCGTGTTTTATCATGATTCATATCATACTGATGGATTTTTAGGCTAATAGTTAGGCTAACACACCTCTCATCTTTCCTCACAAAACCGATAGATCCTCCACTTATTTTAAGTGTCTTCCAGCGAAATTCTTATTGTCTCCCCAGAAACACATCCCTTTTGTTTTTTCCTATTTCCCTTGTGTTTTGAGTGCTTTTGCCGCGTTTTTCTGCTGGTGTTTGTTGCAGTCCGCTTGGCCTCTCAGGGACTGCGGTCAAGTGAGCCCTCACTTACGAAGTCACAGTCAAGCTAGCCGCACCTAAAATGTGGTTGCACTACTCTTACGCATATTACGGCGCGGCTGGACTGTAACTGCGCGCTTCCAGCGCGGCTGCTGCTATTACGACCAAAAAGATGAAACGGGGAAAAAGAAAAACAATCAAATAGGATAAATGAGTGAATGAAATAATACAACGACTATAAACTGAATGCAATCAGAGGTCGAGTCATAGAGGCTGGTTTTCAGTCACGTTCAGCATCCCAATGCGCTCAGGTAAAGTTTGGGGTCATATCAGATAATAATACGGTGGCCCTGAGAACTGCGGTCAAGTGAGCCCTCACTTACGAAGTCACAGTCCAGCTAGCCGCACCGAAAATGTGGTTGCACTACTCTTACGCATATTACGGTATCGGTGCCGACTGGCTTAGAAACGCAGTCTTTTCTGTCCTGACACTATTTTACTTCACAATCCACTTCCAGTTTTAGTTTATCTCCACTCCTCCCCCTGTGATCCACAGCCCAAATTACTCTATGATTCAGAGAAAATTAACAATGAAATTTACCCAATTTACTCTACTGTACTTTTAATGTCCTCATCTTTGAGCTCAGATTACAGGAAAACTAGAAGAGGTGACGCAGATATCTCACTGGATTCTGACTCTGGGTGACCCCCACTCTTCACCCTGTCATCCACAGCCAAAATTACTGTAAAATTAAATCCTAATCCATTACCGAACAAAATGAGTTCATTGAAGTATTTGCTTAACTACAAGAAATTTCTTTCCACACACAATTAAAATTTTTCAAAATGTCATTCACACACCACCTCAAGTAGCAACTTTAGTTTTAGACATTATTTATTCAGTGCTTAATCACAACAATAGCCACCTTAAGGCACTTTACATAATAAGTTAAACCTTACAATAATACATACAGAGAAAAACCCAACAATCATATGAGCCCCTATGAGCAACAGTGGGAAGGAAAAACTCCCTTTTAACAGGAAGAAACCTCCGGCAGAACCAGGCTCAGGGAGGGGCGGGGCCATCTGCTGCAACCGGTCAGGGTGAAAAATTACATTACTCAGATTACTGATTTCTCATATTACTACTACACAGTTTAGATATATTGTTATTCATTATCTGTCATCACACAAATCAACCCAAAAAAATCAAAAAGGAAATACTTGAAGTACGTGCACAAAGCAAGAATGTTATACACATTGTGTTTTACACATGTGTTCCTCAAAACACCAATAACAACTCTAAGCAGATTATTCAAGTAGCTTTCACTGCATGTGGAATTAGGTTACACAAAGCACACACTTCCACTCTGTCTTCTGAGCACTGCTGAGCTGTTCATTTGTCATGTCCAGGCCTTCAGAATGGAACCAGCGGTTGCAGTTATCACACTGGATCTGTAAACAAAAGCATATGAACTTTCATAAACACATTAAGTAAATAATTCTATGTTTTAATAAATTACAATCCTTAAAGACACAGAGTCAAATACTTTGTTGCAGATAACATAAAACTATTTTTAAAAATACTATACCCAGTCAGTGATGGAGGGTCGTGGATTAGGTGGTTTCGCTGTTGCACACATGGCACAGTTGTTGTCACTGTCAAATACTAAGACATAATATATATATATATATATATATATGTTAGTGTTCATCAGTTTGACACAAATAAATATGTGTCAAACTGATGAACATATCTTTTTCCCCGTTTCATCTTTTTGGTCGTAATAGCAGCAGCCGCGCGCTTTGAGCCGCATTAACTTGAGCATGACTGATGCTACACAAATAAAGCTCT